ACCCGCGTCTCCTGCAACGGCAGGCGGACTCTCAAGCACTGCGCCACCAGGGAAGCCCTCCCTCGTACTTTATTCCTAAGCAATGAAGGTGCAATACTTTTTTTTTAATTAATGATAATTTGGACTCACAAGGATGAGAATCTGAGAAGCAGCCACACAGGTAGGTCAAAGGCAGATGCCTATGATTTACCATCAGATGCTGCAGCAGACAACAGTGGCCACTAGAGGGAGCCACACAACCTTTCAAAGAGCAGCATTAGACCAAAAAGCCCATCCAGTGTGGTGGTTCTGTTCTCTGCCCTTCCCAGCCTGGCTCACCCCGCTATGCTTGCTCTTGCTACTGCTCTGTGTAATGCCTGACTCTCCAGAACAAGCTGAAACAAGTTAGAGCTGCAGTCTGCTAAGCATCAGGCTTTTAGAAAAATGACCCCACTTCCTCAGCTCAAATATTTCACATCTCTTTATGTACATTCCCTCCAGCTTTAAAAATTAAATACAAACAGAAGAAAAGTATTTCCCTATGGATGACAGTTGAATCTATTAAAACTTCACCTGGAAAGAAAGCAAAAATATAACCTAAAAATGAAAAAAAAATTCTTTTTTAATCTGTGTGCAATTACTTCCTGCCTCCAGCAACTTTTTCCGTTAACAACAACCAAAAAAATCAACTGTTGACGTATTCAATGTCATCCCCCCCCCCAGTAAAGAAATTTAGGCATGTGCAAGCTAATGGGGAAGTCACATTGGCCAGAATTCTGATCTTATTGGTCAAGTTTCAAAGGCTTCATATGTAACTGAGTACAGGGAAGAAAAAAGTTTCCCACAAACTCCTTCTCTCAAAAGGTCTGAATAACCCTGTAAATATTTTCAAGGCCTTTATAAGCCACAGATGTTATCAACACTCAGGACCGTGCAAACTCTAAAATCCCCAGTCCACAAATGACACTGCTTCAAAAACAGATTTTAAAACATTTGAAAGGAGAAGTTAATTTCCCGCTGGAATGTTGTGGAATGTTGTAATATGTCCACACCTTAGTTAGAATGTGAAAAGCAACGGGCCCCACCAGGCTTCTGGCTTATAGTTCTATTTCTGTGGCCCATGAAATTGTAGGAAACCTCCTAAATAATAGTCAGAAATAAAGGGACAAAAGATAGAATTTGAAAAACAGAACAATTCAAGAAAGCAACTCTAAGAATAACTGATTAAAACTAAAATTAAAATAAGTGGCCTCGTGACATTTCCAAGGAAGAGAAGATTCCAGAATCTGCACTGTTTGGTGATGGGTGGGAAAACCCAGTGGGCTAACATTTGCTGATCTCCATGAGGAGAGAAACAGACGAAAAACAGAGAAACTGCTGAGCATCTGGGCTAATCTGTGATCGCATCTGTGGCCCCCACTAGCCGGCCTGCCTGGAAAAAACCTGAGTGTCAGCCTCGACTGACAAAATTGTTACAAAATGAAGCTGGTTGGCGGAAAACCTTCACGAGTGAATTAAAATCCTGACTGCTGGCCCTGGGGGGAGACAGGAGGTGTGGGTGAAACTGGAAACTAGCCATGATTTACACAGGGAGTGAAAAGACCACAACTTAGAATTTTTCAAAAAATTATAGTTTCGGTAATCTAATTATATCCCTAATTATAATGATGACCCTTCTTCCTTCAAGGGACTCAAGCATGCTTCTGTAACCTTCTCTGTGAAAGTCCCCTCATTTGCCGTTTTACGGAGAGAGTTGGTGCATCTCAGAGTGAGTTAAAGTGACAGGGCTGGCATCTGAATTCTAGCTCATTTCCTCTGACCAGACCATACCAACTCTCTCAGCTCTTGAAATAACCCCCAGTGGAATTCTCCTCAGAGGAAGCCATCTCCCCAATTATGCAAAAACGTCCTCCCCTGCAAACCCCCTCCAGCCCATGCAATTTCCACATGATTTCCACATTCTGATGGGCAAACCATTTTTTTTTCCATTTCCAGCCAAGGAAGTGCAACATCCAAGCCACAAAGGCCAGGAGGCATGGGGGCTGCAGGCTCCTTTGTGAAGCCCAGTGACAAACCCACACGGCTGGTCGGCCAAGGGCCTGGGACGCTGGCTGGCTTCCCATCATTTCCGACTTTCTACGCCACAGGGCAAGTCACTTAACTGCCTCATTAGGATCACAGTCACAGCCCTGCCACAGCCTCCTTCCCAGGTGCCCGGTCACCCCATTAATATCTGTAAAGACCCATTAAGCCTCCTAGTGGAAAGGCACCAGAGGAGCAAAACCTATCACCATCATCATCAATAAACTCCCAGGCACTCTCCCCTGTCACCACCTCAGGGGAATCAGTCACCATGGGAAGAGAAAGCCTGGCACCTCAGCCTGCCCATCCATCCCCTAATGAGCTACCTGCAGCCTCGGAAGTGGCACTCGACCCTGAAGGGAGCTCAGCCATGCTTTCATCGTGGCTGGTGAATTTAAAGAGACACTCCCTCGCCCCCATCTCCCCTGCAGCCCTGCCCCCAGCTGCACCTCCAGCTGCAGCTGAGGCCGTCCTCCCCTACCTGGGAGAGGTGGAGGGAACGTGGACAGAAAGCAGCCTGGTGACCTAAAGACAATGTGTGTCTGCCACTCTGTTTGCCCCTCCGGCCCTCAGACCCACCACCTGGGCACAGACACCATCCATCAAAATCCCGTCACAGGGCTTCCCTGGTGGTGCAGTGGTTGAGAGTCCACCTGCCGATGCAGGGGACATGGGTTCGTGCCCCAGTCCGGGAAGATCCCACATGCCGCGGAGCGGCTGGGCCCGTGAGCCATGGCCACTGAGCCTGCGCGTCCGGAGCCTGTGCTCCGCAACGGGAGAGGCCACAACAGTGAGAGGCCTGCGTACCGCAAAAAAAAAAAAAAACCCCGCCACAAACTCGCTGAAGACGGCCTGTGTGTCTGTAACAGGGCTGCCTCACACCCACGTGAACCCTCCCCGGAGGAGAAGGGACAGAGCTCGCTCTTCCAGCAAACCTTCGTGTGTCTTAGAATTTTTACCAGATGCACACATTGCCTATGGGAAACAATGCTTTCCAGGGACCTTCTGCTAGACAGAGGCAATTAATCCTCTTGCATGTTTCAATGACCCTTTCCGACTGGAAACGGGGAACCCTTAGTCCCAGGGAGTCTCTGATTTGGCTAAAGTGGGGGAGATCTATTTGAGCAAGAGGGTCTGGAAGGTGTGGTTCGTTCAGGATGGGAGGTGGAGGAAGGCCAGGATGCCACCACCCGGGTTTCACTCCCTCCTCTATTCCTGCAACAGCAACAAACAGAACGTCTGCGCAGCCTGACTCGATCCGCACCAGTGAATCTGTGCTTCCGTTACCGACACTGGAAAAAAACAGACCAAAGGGCATGCTTTCACCCCGACTCACAATCTGGATGCCTTGCCTGTTGAAGCTGAACCTTCAGCCAGATGTTGACTCGCTGGCCCCAGGCTCCTGGGGGCTCTGCCTCCCACAGGCGCCCCCGCTCCTCTGGATGCGCCGCCAGGAACTTCCTACAGACTGAGGGGAAGTTGCACACAGGAGTCAGGGAGGCCCACGCAACCCTGGTGCACACACACCGTCCCTCGTCTGCGTCCCCAGGCACGGCCACTTCCGTCCTTCCTGCAGCCTGGCCCGGCCCACCCCCAGCTCTCTGCTCTGCCGCTACCCCACGCCAACCCCCACCACCCCGCCCGCCATCCTCCTCACCTGCCTTCCACTTTCATCCATCCCATTAAGCCTGCTCAGGCGGCCACAACAAAACACCACACACCCAGGGCCTTAAATGACAGACATTTATTGTCTCGCAGCTCTGGAGGCTGGAAGTCTGAGAACAAGGTGTTGGCAGGCTTGCCTTCTCCTGAGACCTCTCTCCTTGGCTTGGAGATGGCACCTTCTTACTGTGTCTTCACACAGTCTTCCTTCCGTACCCATCTGTGTCCTAGTCTCCTCTTCTTACTGGGACCTCCTCTTACCAGTCCTATTGGATCAGGGCCCACCCTTATGACCTCAACTAACCTCACACTCAGTTACCTCCTTATAGACCCCATCTCCACATACAGTCCCCTTGGGGGTTAGAATCTGGGGGGGACCCAATTCAGCCCATAATGGCACCCCACCTGGTCCTCTCCACAGGCACTGTCCTTCCTCTTTCTGAGCCTCCACAGCCCTCTTCTCCCAAGGAGCCTTCCAGCTCATCCACAGACACCTTGACTCCAGAATCCCCTCAAGGTTGTAGACTTTTATGTTCACAGGGTGAGCGTTTCCACGTGGCAGGGCCCCGAATCCAGCCGGATGGGAAGCAGCTCCTGGTACTGCAGGTGCTGGGGGCTCCATCAGGCCCAGGGCAAGAGCACAGATGGAAACCCACAGAGCATGACGCTAAGTACTCAAAAGGTGTAAGCCAAGCTAGCCGAGTGCTAGATAGAATGTTCTGCTCTCCTGTCTTGACAAATATAACTTCTTAACAGCAGGAAAAGCCAGTTTCAAATTTAGAATTCTTAGACTCCTTGGAGTTTTGCACCTGAATGTGGCGATGCCAAGAGAGCTGGCCCCCAGCTGGCAGCCCACCCCCTCCTCCCACCCCAGCTCCCAGCCCATGGCAAGGGGCCTATGCATGCAAATATGGACACCACGCCCACGCTCCACCTACACCCCACCAGCAGCTGTCCCAGGGCCTAAGGATGTGCAAATTGGTGGCATCCTCTGCTCTTGGGGGCACAGATCCAGGATGGAGTCCACTTGGGCCCTTGGCAGCCCCTGACAGGAACCCTGGGGTTCTGGTAGCCTGACCTGGTTTAGGAGTGGCCTGCACCCAGGCGAGAACATCCTCTTGGACCCGCAGATTCCTCACCCCGTGGAGAGAGGTGCAGCTTCAACAGGGTGCTAAAGCGTGGGGCCCTGGGCGGGAGGCCCTCCGGGCCATTCCAAGGGCAGGACTGTACTGGATAAAAGGCGGTCAGTGAAGCCTGGAGCAGCCACACCCGGCCCGGCCTTGAGCCTCCAGCTGCTGCTTTGTCCTGCTTCGTCCACACTCTGCCTGCTCACACATGAGCCCAGGCACAATCAGGGTGACGTAGAAGCTCAAGGCCCCAGCACCCTTGGCTGGGCCACTGAGACCCCAAGTGTGATTCAGAATCAGTACCTTCAGATCTTCTTTCTCTACCAGGTGGAGATACAGGCCCCTGCGAGGGACTCTGCAGTGCTGGCCTGGGGGTGGTCCCCGCCCTTTGGAGCCTGCTCCTCCCCAGGGGAGACCTAGGTGGCTGCCCTGGGGGCCAACACACTCAAACAAAGTCTCAGAGCTGAAATGAGAATGAGAGCAGGGACAGACAGCAGGTGGGCATGGACAGAGAACCAGTGCCGGAGTTCCAGAACTTTCCAAGACCTCCAAGTGAGCAAACCAGTGCAGCAAGCCTCCAGTATTCTTTGCACAAATTCAGGATCTTCAGAGTTTCGTGAGAGATGGAGAGTTTGAAAATACAAAGAAATGACCAAACCCACTTGAGGAAAATATGTTTTCGCCTGGTTTTCTTATGACTTCCGAGCAACAGAAGTTTCCTTGCCTTTCGCAGCTTTTCTCTCCTATCTGTTGTTCTCACACCATAAGGACACTGGAAACTCAATAGTAAGGGTCCAAAAGTATGTGTACGACAAGAAGTGAGGCAGGGCCCAGTGTGGGGTGGATGTGCTTCATGGGGGACCGTGGATCCTGGGAGATGCTCCCCAGTATCTCCCACTCTTGCTGATTTGGAGTGAAACATTTAACATAAGGGCTTTCTGAATTTCCTCTGGCAAATACATATTAAGATTTCTTTTCCAGAACCTGGAGAAGGATTGTGGTAGTTCATGTTATACGTCAACTTGAGTGGGCCAGGGGTATCTAGACATTTCGTCATACATTATTCTGGGTGTGTCTGTGAGGGTGTTTTTGGATGAGATTCACATTTTTAATTATTTATTTATTTATTTATTTATTTATTTATGGCTGCGTTGGGTCTTCATTGCTGTGTGAGGGCTTTCTCTAGTTGTGGCGAGCAGGGGCTACTCTTCATTGTGGTGTGCGGGCTTCTCATTGTGGTGGCTTCTCTTTTTTGCAGAGCATGGGCTCTAGGCGTGCAGGCTTCAGCAGTTGTGGCACACGGGCTCAGTAGTTGTGGCACATGGGCTTAACTGCTCTGCAGCATATGGAATCTTCCCAGACCAGGGGTTGAACCCATGTCCCCTGCATTGGCAGGCGGATTCTTAACCACTGCGCCACCAGGGAAGTCCCGGGATTCACATTTGAATCCTTAGACGGAGTAAAGCAGATTGCCCTCCCCATTGTGGGTGGACCTCAGCCAATCAGTTGAGGGCCTGACTACAAAACAAAAAGTCTGACCCTCCCACAAGTGAGAGGAACTCCTCCTGCCTGACTGACTGAGCTGGGACATTGGTCTTTTCCTATCTTTGGACTTGAGCTGAAACACTGGCTTTTCTTGGGTCTCAAGCCTATTGGCATTTGGACTGGAACCACACCATCAGTCCTCCTGAGCTTCCAGCTTGCTGACTGTAATCTTAGGATATCTCAATCTCCACATTGTCTGAGCCAATTTCTTATAATAAATCTTGTCTCTCTCTCTCCCTCTCTCTCTCTCTCTCTCCCTCTCTCTCTCTCTCTCTCTCTCTCTCTCTCTCTATATATATATATATATATATATATATATATATATATATACACACACATACATACATATATCCTACCGGTTCTGTTTCTCTGAAGAAGCCTAATACACGGACTCGGTAGGACAAGAGCAGATCAGGGGAGCCATCTTCTGCAGTAAGAGCTACACAGGTGCCCAGGGCTCAATGCATTTGGAGCTTGCCTTCCCTCAGCTCCTGGTCCCCCTGGGGCTCCGAGTTGGAAAGGCAAAGTGATGACTAGCATCTTCCCGTGCAAGAGCAAAGGCCCTCTGAGGCCCAGCAACAACCAGCAGCACGGTGGGTTCCCTGGATTCTGCTTCTCTCTGACGCTGTGTTGATTTGGTTCTTATTATTTCTAAATCCAATTCTTCTCAGGGACTGGGAAAGGTTTGCCCCTTGTGATCAAGCTTAAAGTCTCAGTGCTGAAGCAACCGGAGATTTCTTAGAGGAAAGAGACAACTCACAGGTGTGTCATGGTGCCGGCGGCTCTGAGGGACCTCCCGCCCCAGAATCATCTGGAACGCATATGAGTTACCCATCCCCGTTACCCACGCGCTCCTCCCGATGCAGTGATTACCTTAGTACATGGCAGGGGAGATGGGCCAGCTGATGCCCAGGGCCTCGTCCTCTCGGAACGTCTGGCAGAAGTCCCTCAGCATGGCCAGGCCCAGGCCCTGGCAGCGATGGCTCCTCCGGACAAACACGGTGTCTAAGACAGGCAGCAGGTAGCACACACCCGTGCCATCACCACACAGGCTGCCTGGGGGGAAAGCAAGAGACACGTGCTGTCCCCTGGGCTGGACTAGCCTGCCAGGACCCGGCGGGACTCCCACTTGCCAGGTCACTGGTACCATTCGGGAGCAGTGCAGCCTCACAAACTAAACCACTAAAGACCAAACAGCAGATCACCCTAAACCACCAGCTCTCCAGCTTACTGGGCAGCCCACACATTGTCAATTACTGTGAGCAAGGCCACTAGGCTATTGCCCTGAAGTGAATTGCAAACCCAGGTGACTGAGCAGAGTGAGGCCATCGCGCACCCATACTCCTCACACCCCTCCCTCACTGTGCACAGTTCAGAGATCCCCAAAGCCAAGGAGGAGCATCTGGGCAATGTCAAAATTCTTCGTGATGTGGGCTGGGAGACCCAGCCAACGCATCTCCATGGCATGGACTTGTTCAGAGTTCACCATGGCCAGTTATGGCAAAGGACACTTGACCCAAACAGACTAAGTCCTGTTTCCCATAGAACATCAATGACCCTGCTATTGCAGAGCAAGAGAGGCTACAGCTGGCACCTCTCCCACTTTTCTAGCCTGAATTTAACTTTACTGCAACCAGCACTAACAGCAGCAAAGTTGCTGTTTCTGCAACAGGAACCTACCCTTGCAGTCAGTCACCTCTGTTGTCACCCTAGCTAGAAATGCCACACACACCCAGCTATATCACCTTCCTCACTTCCCAGCTGCACAGTTGCCTGTGCTCTAGATGCACTGGAATCCAGGAAAAGAAATATGTTGCACAGTCAGCTCCTATTGAAAGAGGTGGTATTTGTGCCTGCAAAGATTCAAAGGTGAGTAATTTTCCAAACAAACAAAAAAATGATTCTGAGTCTAATTAGCCAGGCTGAATTGCAGAGCTGCCTGCTACTGTACTGAACTGTTTGAAAAATGGCCACAATTATTACCTTTCCTATATCCACACACCTTTGCATGTGATTTTGAAGGTCCTCCCATCAAGATATGGGGTCTATTTCCTCTCCCCTTCAATCTTGCTGGCCTGGTGACTCACTTTGAGCAACAGAGTGAAGCTGGCAAGAGCACACCAGTTCCGTGCCCAGGCCTCTCGGGGTCCAGGGCCCCTCCATTCTTTCATAGATCCCTATCACTCACCACAAGAACAAACCCAGGCTAGCCTGCCACCAGGAGAGAAACATGGCCCAGGCACCCTCGTGGTCCCAGCCAACATCTAGCAGGTCTTAAGAAACAGGTGGGCAAGTGACCAGAGACACATAGGCCAGCCCAGCCTAGGGCAGAAAACCACCCAGCTGAGCCTCAGCAAAATCGCCAACCAAAAGAATGGTGAGCTAAATAAATAGTTGGTTTTGTGCCCAATATGAATGAATAAATAAATAATCTGTGACCAACGAGCAACCCCAATTCACTTGAGATGGTAATTGTAAAGAATTTGGACTTTACCCTCAATGTGCCTGAAATGGCAGCACCAACTGGGTTGCAATTATATAACTTCCAATTTTATAGACAACAAGAACAATGGTCCCCAAACAGTGAAGTCCTTCAAAGCTAAGAATGTTTAAAATTAAATAAAGATACAATTCCACTCACAACAGCATTAAAAAGTAAATACTTAGGAATATATTTAACAAAAGAAGCGTAAGCCTTAAATACTAAAAAGCACAAAACATTGTTGAGGGAAATTAAATAAGATCTAAATAAATGAAGAGAAATTCCACGTTCATGGATTGGATCAGGGTCCCCAACCTCCAAGCCACAGACCAGTGCCGGTCCGTGGCCTGTTAGGAACCAGGCCACACAGCAGGAGGTGAGCAGCGGGCGAACGAGCGAAGCTTCATCTGTATTTACAGCCGCTCCCCATCACTTGTATTACCGCCAGAGTTCCACCTCCTGTCAGATCAGTGGCAGCAATTAGATTCTCATAGGAGCACGACCCTCCTGTGAACTGTGCATGCAAGGGATCTAGGTTGTGCACTCCTTATGAGAATCTGATGCCTGATGATCTGAGTGGAGCTGAGGCGGTGATGCTAGCACTGGGGAGCGTCTGCAAATACAGATTATCATTAGCAGAGAGGTTTGACTGCACAGAGACCATAATAAATCAATTACTTGCAGAATCATATCAAAACCCTATCAGTGAGTGGCAAGTGACAATTAAGCTGCATCTTACAGAATAGACTGGACATAAGCAACACACTTCAGGTGTCACTGTCTCCCATCACCCCCAGATGGGACCATCTAGTTGCAGGAAAACACGCTCAGGGCTCCCACTGATTCTGCATTATGGTGAGTTGTATAATTATTTCATTATATATTAAAATGTAATAATAATAGAAATAAAGTACACAATAAATGTAATGCGCTTGAATCATCCCAAACCCATACCCCACCCCCCAGTCCATGGAAAAACTGTCTTCCACGAAACCAGTCCCTGGTGCCAAAAAGGTTGGGGACTGCTGGATTGGATGACTCAATACTGTTAAGTTGCCAGTTCTTCCCAAACTGACCTGTAAGTTTAACAACAGTCCTATCAAAATCCCAGCAGGCTCGTTTGTGGAAATTGACAAGCTGAGAGTAAAATTCATGTGAAATGCAAAGTCTCTAGGATAAACAAAACAGAACAAAAAAAAGAAGAAGAACAACAAAGTTGGAGGTTTTATATTAACCAATTTCAAAGCTTCTTATAAAATCAAGGTAATCAGACAGTGTGATAACGGTGTAACAGTGGGCATATAGATCAATGGAGCAGAAGTGAGAGTCCAGAAGTAAACTCTTACACTCCGAATTTCTACAAAATGCCATGGTAACTCAGTGGGGGGAAAGACAGACTTTTCAACAAACTGTGGTGGAATGATTGGACATCCATAAGCCAAAAATTAATTAATTAATTAAAAATGAACAAATTAATGAATGAAGCTGCAACAGAACAGAGCCCAGAATGAGACCCACACAAACACAGTCAACTGATCTCTGACAAAGGAGCAAAGCAAAATGAACAGAGGAAGGACAGTCTTTTCAACAAGTGATGCTGGGACAGTTGGACATCCACATGCAAAACCATGAATCTAGACACAGACCTTAAACCCTTCACAAAAACCATGAATCTAGACACAGACCTTAAACCCCTAGCTCAAAATGGATCACAGACACAAATGTACAATGCAAAACTACAGAACTAGAAGATAACATAGGAGAAAATCTAGATGACCTTGGGTTTGGCAATAAACTTGTACATACAGCATCAAAGGCATGATCCATGAAAGAAAAAATTGAGAGTTGAATTTCATTAAAATCAAATTGTTCTGCTCTGTGAAGGACACTGTCAAGAGAATGAGAAGCCACAAACTGGGGGAAAAATATATTCTAAAGACATAACTGATAAAGAACTATTATCCAAAATATACAAAGAGCTCATAAAACTCAACAATAAAAAAACAAACAACTTGATTAAAAAGTGGGCCAAAGACCTTAATAGACACCTCACCAAAGAAGCTGTACAGATGGCAAGTAACATGAGAAGATATGCCACATCATATATCATCAGGGAAATTAAAATTTTTAAAAAGTGAGATACTACCATACACCTATTAGAATGGCCAAAACCCAGAACACTGAAAACACCAAACTGCTGTTGAAGATGTGGAGCAAAAGGAACTCTCTTTCATTGTTGGTGGGAATACAAAATGGTACAGCCACTCTGGATGACGGCTTGGTGGTTTCTTTTCTTTCTTTTTTTTTTTTTTTTTTAATTTTTGGCTGCATTGAGTCTTCGTTGCTGCATGCAGGCTTTCTCTAGTTGTGGCGAGCGGGGGCTACTCTTTGTTGTGGTGTGCAGGGCTTCTCACTGCGGTGGCTTCTCTTGTTGTGGAGCATGGGCTCTAGGCGCACGGGCTTCAGCAGTTGTGGCACACAGGCTAAGAAGTTGTGGCTCACAGGCTCTAGAGAGCAGGCTCAGTAGTTGTGGCGCATGGGCTTAGCTGCTCCGCAGCATGTGGTATCTTCCCGGACCAGGGATCGAACTCGTGTCCCCTGAATTGGCAGGCGGATTCTTAACCACTGTGCCACCAGGGAAGTCCCAGCTTGGTGGTTTCTTACAAAACTAAACCTACTCTTACCATAGGATCCAGCAATTGTGCTCATTTATATTTACCTGAAGGAGTTGAAAACTTATGTCTACTCAAAAACTGGCACACAAATGTTTATAATGCCTATATTCATAATTACCAGAACTTGGAAGCAACTAATATATGCTTCAATGGGAGAGTGGATAAATAAATTATGGTACATCCAGATAATGGAATACTAGTCAGTGCTAAAAGGAAATGAGCTATCGTGCCATAAAAAGATATAGAGAAACCTTACAGCATATTACTAAGAAAAAGAAGCCAATCCACGAAGGCTACATAGCACACAATTACAATTATATCTTCCGGAAAAGGCAAACCTACGAAGGCAGTAAAAATATTAGTGGTTGCCAAGGGGTAGGGGAGAGCAAGGGATGAATAGGTGGAACACAGGATTTTTAGGGCAGTGAAGCTACTCTGTATGATGGTACAACGATAGAACATGTCTTTATACATTTGTCGAAACCCACAGAACGTACAACACAAAGAATGAACCCTAATGTAAACTATGGACTTTAGTTAATAATAATGTATTCTTATGGATTGAATTGTGTCTCCCCAAACCCCCAGTACATCAGAATGTGTCTGTATTTGGAGACAGGGCCTTTAAGAGGTGATGAACTCAAAATGAGGTCTTTAGACGGGCTCTAATCCAATCCAGTTGGTGTCCTTATAAGAAGAGGAAATTTGGACACACAAAGGGACACCAAGAATGCACACACACACACAGGAAAACCGTGAGAGGACACACCAAGAAGATGGCCATCACAAGCCAAGACATAGGCCTCGGAAGAAACCAAACTTGCCTACACCTTGACCTTGGACTTCCAGCCTCCAGAACCGTGTGAAAATTAATTTCTGTTGTTTAAGCCACCCAATGT